TGTTAGGAGAAAGGTCCTAAAAATCAATCCAAATTGCCTGACAAATGTTTTCAAAAATGAACAGGGTAAAAAGGTACCGAAAGGGCATTAGTTATCCAACTAGTGTAACCAAGTCCCCGAATTCAGTTAATTTCTGGTTCGTAGGAATATTCGTAAGAATAGGGTGATTCTCCCATCACCTTATTTGGATTTCTAATCGACCCACCCCAAATCGATTAGTGGCGACTCCTCGGTATAAACCATTTGCATGTTAAATACTTAAACCCTAAGTCGCGATATGGTATGGGCTTGGGAGAGCCCGACTGAAGTCCCGCACCTAGACTTAGCACGTACCAGGCGACCCCCCCTTTCCTTTTACATGTTCAAAAAGGGGAGCTCGGAGGTCGGTCGCGACAAGCGCAAAACAAGAGAGAGGAAACCGAACCAAACCGTGTTTTTAGTTTGGGTCATATTTGGTTCAGGTCATGATTCCGGTCAAAACATGCACACATCCCATACGGTTCGGTTTGATTCAGATATCATGAAAACCCGAATGCTAAGGCTTAGATCAAGCAAGTTGCTTTTCGATCAAACTTGCTTTTCGATCAAGCACATTTTTCATCAATTTCTAAGGCTCCGTTTGTTTCATAAAAAATGAATAATTTGAAAAATATTTTCTTAAAAATAATCACTTGTATATCTTACAAAAATTAATTAATGAATGAAAAATATTCCCATTGTCCATAAAATATTTAGACATAAATTGTTATCATTGATTACTTATTTCAAGTAAACAAGCGATCACTTATAGGATAATATTTTCTAAATCACTCATTTTTCATGAAACAAATAGAGCCTAATTATATATTCACTTTTCAACTATATTTTTCATCAAACTCTCTAGGTTACGTCGAGCTTAGATTGCTCCATTTATGTAGAACAAAAAGTAGGATTAGGTAACCTTCCTGTATAAGATATGATATAATAGGGATATACTTTTTTGAGATAAGACATGATTGTTTAGTTACACTGAAGATGTAACGTCCCGAAATTCGACTCACTGTCGCGATCAATGAAATTGATATATTTCTCATTTCATTTTAGTAAGTCTCGCCCATAACTGATCATTCTTGGGATACTAACCCATAGGGAAAGGCTAACTAGGAAAAACGGTACGTGGACCCAAGAACTCGACCGTGAATCGAGTCCGATTCAGAGAAGCGACGATGGAATATTTTGTGCCGACATGGGCCGGTCCAAGGGTAGTGACGGATTTGGTTTGACCGACGACGTACGATCGGATAGCGGGTGATTCCGCACGACCGAGAGTACGCTCGGCGAACGATCCCGAACTTATTCCGGACGACCGCGACCCCTGGAACTAGCGATAAATCCTGGTGTTCTCTGGGAAATCGGGACCATCATGACTCGAGTAGCCCTAGGTCGATACGCGTAACCCCTAAACAGCCGCCCGTTAGTGAGAGACACTAAAACTGCAAATTGAGCTTAAACGATTGTGGAATTGAGTCCGAACTTAGGTGTCGAGTTTCGTGGGCGTACGCGACTATTTTGCAAGGACGACGTCATTTTTATGTGGTCACTCATATTTGGGATCAGTAGAGCCGAAAATCGGAAATTTGACTCGGGACCGGAAAATTACCGTTTTGCCCCTAGGCCTAAATGTGGTGTTCCGAATTTTGGGGTTAATTGGGGAATATATTGTTGTATCTCAGCCCAATAATGCTGAAAATATTGGTCCATATTGCCCTTAGATGTTTATTCTAGATTTAATCCTAGCCCTTGGATTAGGGGCAATTTGGTCTTTTGTGCCTAAGTAGCTCAACCACCCCACTAGCAATGTGTATATCTCTCTAGCCTCTCTCTCTCCTCATTCATTTCCCCCTCCCCAAGCCAGCCGGTCACTCTCCCTCTCATCTCTCCCCTCTCCCGCGAGCTCTTCCCCTCCCGGCCTCTCGCCGCCGCCGCTCGCCGGTGCCGGTGCCGCCACCGCCGTGTGCCGCCGTTCACTTCGCCTCGCCACCGCCATTCAGCCGTCTCTCTCTGCCTCTCTTCCTTCCCCCTCTCGGCCACGTGAGCAGCCCCCACCGTGGACGCCGTCCGCAAGCCGTTGCCGCCGGTGCCGCCGCTGTGAAGGCCGCCCGTCGCCGCCGCTTGCCCCGCCGCTGTTTGGCCGCCCTCGCCTCGTGTTCAGCCTTGTTTAAAGCTTAGGAATCCAAGTGAGTACAACCCTAAACCCTAATTAGGCTAATTTACATTTCTAGATAGGTTTTAGGGGTTAAATAGGGTATTTTAGAGGTTAAATTGTGGAGATTGTTAGGGGCTGTTATGGTGGCTGATTTCGTGGCTTAGGGTGATAATTTAATTGAGGTTTAGAGGCTTAGATTGGGTTGTGTGATGGCTAGACATATTGGGTTGAATCGGCCCAAGTTTGGAGCAAGTTCGGGTTCAATTGTGGATTGTAGTGCGCGCCTAGTGTGGTCCTCGAGGTGGCTGATTTGGGTGATGTATTGGGGAGCCAAATGGAGTCTTTTGAGGATATTTAGTGGCCTAGAGCGATCTGTTTGGTGGCTGTCTAGACCGGGGTTGAATCGGACAAGGCGCGATCGATTTGGGGTTTAAAGGTGTAATTACCGGGAATATTGGATTGACGGACTGAATGGCTGAATTGTCCTTGATTGTGATTGGTTTTGTGATGCTGTGTCATGTGCCTAGTGTGACTAAGAAGGGAGTAGCTTGGCGGGCCTCGAGTGCGCGAATTCATGTTGATCCGGTTGTGTGATTTATATGCATAAATTATGTGCCAAGTTTGTGCCATGGCTGATTTGAATCGATTGACTGATTGGGCATAACGATTCATTAAACTGAATATGTGTGGTGTACGTTGAGCATATTGCGTTGTGAATTGATCAAGTGGTGATGTGCAATTGAATGCTCATTGTGAATTTCTTGAATGCCCAAGTGTGAACGTTATGGCCATGGGTGTACATCTCGAGCATTGGCATGGCATGTGCATATACGAGTTTGCACGAATGACATAAGTATGTGATCACCTAAAATGCCCTGATGCGTTTTACGCGGGGTTCAGATAATAATTAGTGTTTGTGAATGAGTGATCACATAAAGCCCTGAGGCGTTTTACGTGGGGTATTGAACCCGTCCTGCGGCGTGTTACGCGGGACGATGCCCGGACTATCGGAAGATGGCCAAACCTGATGCGTTTTACGCGGGTGTTGTGCCATGAGCCTGATGCATTTTACGCGGGCTAGAGATCGATCTCGAAGTGATGGACCTGATGCGTTTTACGCGGGTCGGACCTGATGCGTTTAACGCGGGTCGGAGGAGAATTGATAAATGGCAAGTGTGCAAGAGTGCAAGTGTGCGACAATGCATCGATGAGGCATAAGCATGAGTGTGAGCACGAGCATATGCATGACATGCGTCGTGACTAAGTGATATGCATATATGTGCCGTGATTGAATTATGTGGCATTATTGCGATTATATATCAAATGCCTAACCTGCAGGGTCAAGTAAATTTTGGATTCAGGCCCGAGGGCCTGAGTCAATTATGTTTTGATCTGTGTGATGTTTAGTACTCGTCAGGAGGTGCATGTTAGCCTAGTTTAGGTTTAGGGAACCTACTCGCTGAGATTTATTCTCACTGTTGTTGAAAACTAATTTTTCAGACCCCCGGCCTTGAGATGTCTGCAGTACCTATTCGTTTTGGGATTCCTTATCGGATAGATCGGGAGGAGTCGGTGTACCCCGCAAGGAACGGGGATTTTTAGGTTAGATACCTTTCTACAGTTCGGGTGGATGCGGGCGAAGATGTTGACCAGGTCCATAGATAAATAGCGTGGCGTATCAGGGACCATGAGGAGACCTACGGGCCTCTCCGATCTTTTGAGGTTCCGCTCACCGATGCGGGGGATGTAGACCCTCAGTGTCCCGATGGAGAGTTGGCGAGCCCCGATCGTGCGCCGGAGGATGGGGGTCCAGACCCAGAGCCGATGGATTCGGAGGATGAGGAGCCTGAGCCCATGGAGCAGGACATGGAGTCGGATGACGAGGCCGAGCCAATGGATTTCGAGGAGGAGTCAGCTGGGGCCGAGTCCGAGCAGGATTCCCTAGACTCGAAGGTTGAGATGTCTGACAGCTCTTCCGAGTCATCGGGATCCAACTCGGACTGGGTTCCGTAGGTTTAGGCTTAATCCCAGATAAAGAGGGCCAGTACCTTTTTGACCAGAGCCCCTTCTAGCTTTAGTAACCCTGACTGCCCGGGCCACTTACTCCTTTTTGTTAGTAGTGGCCATTGACCCGTTTTTGGTTTTTGATGATCAGGCTGTATATAAATATTGTATATGGTTCCCAATATTAATGCAAGTGTATATTTGTTCATGTGGTTGATTGTTGCGGCTGTCCTTGGTCATGTGTTATTATTTTGTACGGGTGTTTTAATACTTCCGCATGTGCTTTAATCTCTGTGTTAGGCGTTGGGTCGGCGACGCGCCCTAGGACGTCGCATTCAGAATCGACCTTTGCGAGGGATGTGGCGCGCCATAGGGTGCGGGGCGTGACAGAAGATGATATGGATAAAGTATAATACGATCAGGACTATGCAAAGTAGGTTAAAGTTTATATCACAAGGATATAGTGATTGAATAATCGCAAGATCAGGTATATACAACTGATAAATAAAGTAATTTATCTGAAAATGTGAAACTTGGAGTGTGCTAAGACTTTCATAAGCATATATCAACAAAAATATGTTTGATATTGATCAAGAAACTGAACCACTGAGTGCATAGAACATTAATATATTCCAATGTCACATTATTTTACAGTCTCCTTATTTTATTTCATTCGAAATCCACAGAAAAAAGGGGGCTCTCAGGCCAGAGAAGAGCAATGATCTAGTGTCGACACACAATTCGAATTGTACGCAGAGCATTGGACTCGAAGGCTGTCTAATGCAATCTACGACGGTTTGGTACTTAAACTTGTTCTTCCAAACCTTCACATCGGCAATGGATTGACGTACAGAGAAGTCACATGCTTTTTAAACTCGGTTACACCATGAGTGTAGAGATCTATCTCATCTTTATACACCACATGCATGGTTCGTGCAAAATTGTGAATTCGCACGAGGAGTGGCCTGGGGATGATGGTCGGACAGTGCAGCTCCTCGTTAATATCCTTCCACGCATCGGCCACCTGTTTACGGAGTTCCTCCTTAGCCTCTTCCTCAGTAACTCCGTACTGTTTCATGAAACACTCCACTGAAGATGCCACATGACCTCTCTCTTGCTCAAACTGTAAACAAATATCTCGTGGAAATTATTTTTTTCTCCTATTGATAAAATCTATTGGACAAAATTTCGATAAATTAACGTTGTTCGCTGGTATAGCTTTTATATACCTTGTGTCCAGCAATGTCATCCAAGAGCCGAACAACTAATTTCACAGCCTTCACCATCTTGGGATCGACGTATAACACCCAGTCAAAAGCATCTTTTGTTACGAAATCTCCCATTCCCAGCAACAAAGTCACTAGTAGCAATTCAACAGCAGCCGATTGTAATGCAATGGGCATGTACTCCTCCATCGTCGGTACGTGGTTTTGGTGGAACCATTTGGCTTCGGTGAAGTATGCTCTTACTAGGTTTTTCATCTAAGGATTGATACTCAAACATAAAGCTATGTCAATATTTGAACTTTAAAGTGTTTAGTGGACTTAAATATATTAGTGTCTCTCGTTCTTATCCAAAAACCCGATATTTTGTTGCCGGTGGACGGAGTAAAAATTGCGTTTGATTGATAGAACCTCGAATGGCTTACCGCTTCTTTTGCAAAGAACAGCCGGTATGGTCGTCCTTTTCTGGTCATCTCATAGCCAATTTCATCATACAAATCAAAAACTGTCTTGTAACACGCCTGCATGTACTCTGGCAATCCATCTTTGGCATCGACGTCCCACCTGAGTTCAAGTTCAGAAAATATCACGCTTGACTCTATTTACCAATTGATCAAATTAGAATAAGTAAGTTTAGGATTGGTAAACTGAGAAAAGCATTTGAGTGTGAACTGTACCTTTCAATTACTTCCGTGAAGAGTTTTAGTTCTTCCAATGTGCCATAGACATCATAGATGTCATCGATAATTGAAACCATGCTAGCCACTTTGGTTAGTATTTCCCTAGCGCCTTCATACTCTGGCTCGAAATAAACTCCTGACATCCAGAGATACATCTCCACAATCCTATCTCTAGCAAATGGGAACTTCCTTTCTACATCTAAATCCTTCCACCACCTATAGTATAACAACAAATCCTATTTAAGGCAAACACATCATTGAGAGAATTATAGAAAGTATCTTACCCTAATGAGCCAAAGAGATTAACACTCCTTGTCACTTTCACAAATGATTTTTAGTTCAGGATAAATCGAAATTGCACGAATCAATCCACGATGATTTGGTTTTCTCATAATATCTAGCTACTTCAAACGTGCTATTATGAAGCTAACCTTGTAAGGTTGCCGAGTTCCTTCTGGTGTTGCTCTTGCAATAAGTTGAAATCGAGTTTAGCCAAGGATAGCAGGACTTCATTATGCAAAGGCTCATCTTGGTAGAGTGGAATGTAACGCCTCGCCTCTAACCTTGGTATTCCGTTGTAAATTGGTTGGTTTAGGGCATGACTCACTTGTTTTTTGAGCTTAGGGCTTGCTTTTCCTTTATCAATTGTTTCGAGATGAGTTATAGTAAAAGCAAGTGCATCATTCAAAATATCATCGCCATGAAACCTCAGATGGCAAGCTTCAAATAGACTAAGTAGTCCCTGCACGTCGGCAATGAGTGATTCGCTGAAATTCCCTTCACGATCCCTGAACTTGTTAAAGATTTCTGAATGGCCAAACAAAAGTGGGGAAAGATGCTGTCATGAGATACCATGAAAAATTCATGTTCAACATCTAGATCAATTTGAAATGATTGGAAAAAATGACTTACTAAACCAAGGAATTAGAAGAAAGGACTATTCACCTTTCAAACCAAGAAAATTTGAAGAACTCGGGATATGAGAATTGTATAGAGAAAAAGTTGACCAAAAAAACAAATCAAAATAGGAGTGAACTAAACATGTTAGTGATATTATGTGTTCTAATCAATCAAATGGACTATCAACTAGTATCTGCAATATAAATTTGCCAACGAATCGATCAATGAGAATTAGAACATTACATACCACATGAAATTGTGTAACTTTGTTGTCGCAACAATCGAAAGAGAAGAGCGACCGTGTGTAGGTCGTCATTGTTATCATTGTCGTGCAATTCGAAATAGCTTTTGTGAATTTGTTCAAGCTGTTGATTTATCTCAATTTCAAAATGGTAGGCAATTCCTAAGCGTTGGATTTGATCGATCAAGTTCAACTTTTGCGAAGGCTTATCCGTGGCATCTGTCAACATCTTCCTCACTTCTCCTTTCAATCTCTCGATTCGACCCTTTGCTTTGGCGGGAAAACTCTACAATATATATAAAATTGAATGTTGGAAAAATAATTAGAGGAAGTAAATTGTAAGAATGCAAGAAATATATTAGGTTGCCTATGACCCGATTGATCACGATATTTAATATGAATTGAAATTATTGTAAAATTATTCCATCATGACTAGTTTTATTAATAATGGAGAAATCCTTTCTACACTTGTTAAGCCATATGTGCATGCCACAAGGTTCACATAAATATTTTGAATCATGTAAGGACCAACACATGCATGAAGTTTCAAATCAAGTGGTGCTTCAATTCTTTTTCTTTAGCAAATGTTGTGGGATGGTGCCCAATCATTCGAGATTTATTATGTTCTATGCCCTTAGTTTTCAGAAAACACAACGATCGTAAAGTTTTCCAAATATAATCGAAGACAAAGAACAACTTAATATGCAACCATCGAGTTGGAGTCAGAAGCATATTTGAGAAAATAATCCCCCCATATGCCGGGATGGAAATTGGCTGAACGGCGTTCAGCGACACGGCTTGTTTCTTGAGCAGGAGAAGAAGGTGGGATGGCTAAAATGGGAAGAGACATCTCTTTTTCGCTGTTTTCTCGATTTAGGTGACTGAGCAAATATGGATGAAGAACGCTAGAGGGTTGAGGCTTTTCTGTAAGTGTCGAAACCTTATTTATGGGTGTTTATAGGCTATAGCATAGTATGTTGGACAGGTAGCTAGGATAAGGAACAGACAAGGCAAAAACGTTTATTGTCTCAGAACACGTTTTTTTCGTTTAATTTGGAGGTCTGATTGGCAAGGAAAATCCAAAAGATGTCACATGACTGGGGACAGATATGGACTTTGATCATCCACTACACTAGTAGCAGTCTCAAGTGTTCTACTGACCTGTCACATGACTGGGGACAGATATGGACTTTTAATGTGCTTTTTCTTGTTAAATTCTTCTTCTTTTGCTAGGCGTATTACACGGATATAAATTTTCGATTTTTGGTATCACAAAAGAAAAATCTGTAATAAAAATGTTACATATGTATAAGTTTAGGTTTTGATGTAAAAAAAAAGTTTGGTATAAATGTGTCACAGTAAATATAATTTAAAATTTCTAATAGATTTTTCCTTTTATTTTATGTAACACCCCGAGTCTACACTGTGTAATATTGTCCGCTTTGGGCCCACTGACCCTCACGGCTTTAAAACGCGTTACACAGGATAGGCCACCCAGGCCTTATAAGCAACCCCAGGACTCCCCCCCTAAGCGATGTGGGACAGAGAGATGCCCCCCTTGCCATCCTAGAAGCCTGCCAGGAGCCGCTCCTTGTCCAGGTCCTTAAACCCCGGCGACCACTCTCCGCCCTCGTCGGACCAGGTCGTTACATTTTACTAGGGACTTAATTCCACCATACTTCTTAATTTACCAACCCCATCCAGCAAACGTGGTGTCTCGTCATCTCTTCCATCTCCGATTGCGATGTTTCTGAAGATTATGCTTCAAGCTTTTTCTAGGTCTAACATGAGTCGGCAAAGGTTGATAAATCACATAAAAATAGAATTAGTACTTTCATAGAAGAGTTGGTAAATTATGACATTATTAATTATGGGTGTTTATAGGCTATAGCATAGTATGTTGGACAGGTAGCTAGAATAAGGAACAGACAAGGCAAAAACGTTTATTGTCTCGAAACACGTTTTTTTCGTTTAATTTGGAGGTCTGATTGGCAAGGAAAATCCAAAAGATGTCACATGACTGGGGATAGATATGGACTTTGATCATCCACTACACTAGTAGCAGTCTCGAGTGTTCTACTGACCTGTCACATGACTGGGGACAGATATGGACTTTTAATGTGCTTTTTCTTGTTAAATTCTTCTTCTTTTGCTACGCGTATTACACGGATATAAATTTTCGATTGTTGGAATCCCAAAAGAAAAATCTGTAATAAAAATGTTACATATGTATAAGTCTAGGTTTTGATGTCAAAAAAAGTTTGATATAAATATGTCACAGTAAATATAATTTAAAATTTCTAATAGATTTTTCCTTTTATTTTACTAGGGACTTAATGTGACATTTTGAATTTCGATCCACTTTTAGGATAAATGAAATGTGTATATTCTTCAATGCATTTGTAGTTAAATCTCGCCTGAAACTGATCATTCTCGGGATACTAACCTTTAGGAAATGGCTACCTAGGGAAATGTACGTGGACCTAAGAACTCAACCATGAGTCGAGTAACCGCAGGTCGTGTCACGCCCTGTCACGCCCCGAACCCCATCGAGCACGCAACATCCTTGCCTGGTCGAATATCGCGACGTCCCAGAAAATCGCCGGCCCAATTCATCATATCAGAGATTTAGATCAATCAGCGAAAGCCACTAATACCCGGACAATAATAACTGGGGTGAAAAGGGGAGGTTAAGCACATCCATTATCGATTCAAACTTATACAATATCCACAATTTACATACCACGATGTATATACAAGCACACCGAACTTCTACACTATAATCCACTGACGTAAAAAAGGATCAGCAGACTAGTATACCCTATCTCCAAAAATGGCACCCTTCAAAATCCTATACCCAACCCCTACTCTAACCCCTACGCCCTCTGCTTGGTGTCCACTCCGAGTCTGATTCCTCATCATCTGAATCTGAATCCCCCTGAACTGTCTGCTCCTCTGAGGACTCCGGCTCGACCTCGATCTCGATCTCGATCGGGTTGCTTATATCACCCGACTCCGCTGGAACCTCAACTCGCTCCTCTTCTACTGGCTCCTCATCTGACTCGTCCTCTGGCACAAACTCGGGATCGTACCAAGAAACGTTCTCTGGTTCATACTCTGGCTCGTACTCGGGTGCGAGCTCCGGTTCATCCTCAGGCTCTTCTTCCGGTGCCTCCTCAGGTTCGTCCTCAGGGTCTTCGTCTTCTAGTTCCTCCTCGGGTATTACTTCGAGATCCACGTCCATCGGATCATACCCCGCCTGGGATTCTTCCGGTTCCGGTTCATGCTCGGCTCCAGAGGGCTCAGGTGCTGCAGGCGCAGGCTGAAGTCCGGACTGAGCCAGGCTAGTCTCTAAACTCGTCATCTCGCAATCGGGAGGGGAGGAGGTATGGCCGATGGGTCCCAATCCCCAACTCCATCAAAGGGGACATCAAATCCACGGACTGGGCCAAACTCATCTACCCCGTCCCGAAAGAACCAAGCGGTATAGGTATGGGCCTGCCAAAGGGGTAACCCTACGTCTACCCAAACTACTGTAGTATGCCTAATCCAGGTCATATTATCGTCTATCGGGAACTCTACAACGTTGTGGTCGGTGTACATCGGTACTCCAAAACGCTCAAGTGGCAGCGGTGGGAGATTCATTGCTCAGGCCGGGGTTTCTGAAATTGTTGGTTGAAACAACCATGAGAATACATCTCAGTAAGCACACACCCTAAACCCCACCTAGGCTATCACGTACCTCCAGACAATCATAATCACAATCACACTCAGCCATCACATCGCAGGCACACAATTTATACTTACTTGGGCCTTCCCTGCGTGCAACCTGCACGTTAGCCACAGTAGTATAATTTCCAATCACATGCACGTTATAATTACATTCCACGTACTCATTCCTGCCTCATCACATTATTTCCACACAACTTGCCAGTGACCCGTATAATGGTACCGCTTCAGGTTCACTGCGACCATCTCACACTCGACTCGCCAGTGACCCGCGTAATAGTACCGCCTCAAGTTCACTGCGACTAACTCATACTCAACTTGCCAGTGACCCGCGTAGTAGTACCGCTTCAGGTTCACTGCGACTAACTCATAACAACACTTCAGGGCCAGCGTAATGGTACCGCCTCAGGCCGTGTATCTTGCCCGCGTAAAGGTACCGCCTCAGGCCGTGTATCTTGCCCGCGTAAAGGTACCGCCTCAAGCTCAACACCCACCACCTACGACACAACCCGCGTAATGGTACCGCCTCAGGTTGGCCGTCCTCCGGTAATACCGGGCATCGTCCCGCGTAGTCGTACCGCCTCAGGACGGATCAATTCTCCACGTAATGATACCGCCTCAGGGATTTCCGTTATCACACATACCGCACCGCACTCGCTTTCTCACTCGTTCACACATTTAACACCCACATGCCAACATATTGGCCAATCACACTTGGCCCGTGCACGCATCAAACCACGCATTTCTCAAGCTCAATAAACACCCAACACGGCCAATTGACAGTCAATTTCAATTCGGCCCAAGCATGCACATAACGAAGCACATTTCAATCAATCCAGTCACGGTACAACAAGCATACAAGGCCACTAACGGGCCCACAAACACAGCCACTACATAGGCACAAAATTCAACATTTCCTCATCCATTTTTAGCCCGAATCATCACCACAATTCAGCCATAAATCAACGCACCAAACCGATACCGATTTCCCCCGAAATCGAACCATACGCTCGTCAATGCGAGCCCAATTTCCAGCACCCAATTCCACATCATCTCAGCCCCGAAACATCATCATTTCACCATCTAAAATCAGTCAATACCAGCCCCTAAATCAGTCCGCTCAATTAATCCCTAAACAGCCCCTAATAACCCCTAAACGGCCCCTAATTAACCCGATTCAACTATAATTCGTCCGTCGATACCCGAAATCCTAAATAGAGTTTAGGGCGCAACTTACACAAACTCTAGACTGGGTCGGCTAGAGTGAAATGGGGACAGCAGACCGGCGGGCAAGCGGTGGCAAGCGGCGGTGGCGAGCGGCTCCGGCGGGCGGCGTACGGCGAGCGGCGGTCTGCTGGCTTCCCACGGCTGAACAGGACTGAAAGGGGGGGCTGGTGGTGTTCGGTGAGGCGGAATAAGGGAGAGAGAGACGGTGGGGGCGGTGGTGGTGGCGTGTGGCCACGGTGAGCAGCAACTGCTACGACACGGCTGCTCCGGCTGAACGGGCGGGCGGCGACGGCAGCTGGCTAGGCCGAACGGCCAAGGGCACGGTGAGGGGAGGCTGGTTCGGTCGGGAGAGGGGAGAGAGAGATTGAGCCGAGAGAGTGAGAGGGTGAGGAGAGAGAGAGGAAATTGGCTTCAATTGAAGGACACCAATAATTGGTGTCTTGACCAAGCCCAAATGACCATCTTGCCCTTTTCTCATATATCAAATCGACGGCTGAGATTCATTCTTATTCTGAGATCGACGGCCCGGATCGAATCTTTTCCAAAATATCCAAGGGCAATTTGGGAATTTCTCAAAAAGTCCAAGGGCAAAATTGTCCAAAAATCTCTAATTCTAAGGCTAGGGCGAAATTGCCAAAATGCCCTTCCCAAATTACATTGGCCTTAACAAATTTCCAGGGGTAAAATGGTCGTTTTTCATTTCTCGCCAAAATTCGATTTTTCTGAAGGATTCGGACAAATTCGAGGCTACCCGAGCAAATGACGACATCATCCAAATGATCTGTCGCGACTTTCTAAATTTTCAATGCCCAACTTGGTCTCTAATTAATGCCTAAGTTCTGAATAACGCAACTTGCACATATCTCGTACTAACGGGTAGCTTTTAGGGAAATTCGCATTATTGACCCGTGGCCGATACTAAATCAAGTCACGTTCAAGTTTACTCGGGTCGTGACGACCTCGGTTGTCACTTAATCGCGAGGATCGATCACTAGATCCGATGGGCACGATCGTTTGGTATAGGTTTGGGGTCATTCGTCAATTCATTTCGTGGTCAAGCGGAATCACCCGCGATCCACTAATATGACAATGGCGAACTGATCCCTAGCTATCCTTGGACCGGCCTATATTGGCTCAAAATGTCACCTCGACAATTTTCATGGTCGAAAGTCGGTTCACGATCGAGTTCTTTGGTCGCGCGAATTTAAATCCCTAATTAGCCTTTCCCTAACGATTAGTATTCCCAAAGTGATCAATTCTGGGCGAGATCTAACTACAAGCACGTCCATAACTACTCATTTCATAAATTCCAAGTGGGTCAGATTTCAGAATGTCATAGGTCGATATGCGTAAACCCTAAAAAGCCGCCCGTTTGTCAGAGATATACTAAAATCGCATTTGAGCGAAATTGGCCGTCATTTGAATCCGAACTTGGATGTCGAATTTCTTGAAGTGTCATTACTAATTTATTTGGACGACGCCACATAAGCGTGGCCAACCTTAAGGTTTATTGGATTTGTCGAAAATTTGGAATTTGGACCGGGAGTGGAAAATGACCGTTTTACCACTGGGATTATTTGAATTCATTTGAAAGATTGAAGGGCAATTTGGACTTTTGAACTTTCCCTCCTTTGGCCAAAATTCTTGGACAAGTATGCCCCTCTACATCTTGCTTATTTATTTTGGTTGCCATTTGTAATTTTGGGGATATTCATGTGAGAAAAATTAGGAACCCTTGGATCTTGGCTTGGGGAAGAGGGTAGATTTTGAGCCTTTGGATGTATGAGTGGGGTGGGTGATGGGGTTTTTAGTGGGATTATTAGAGAAAATCTGATTCATTCTCTCTCTCTCTCTCTCTCTCTCTCTCTCTCTCTCTCTCTCTCTCTCTCTCTCTCGCATTCATTCTCCTCTTGTTCTCTCTCTCCCTCATCTCTATCGGCCGGCTTCTCCTCCTCCCCCTTGGGTGAGCAGTTGCTTGCTCCGCCTCAGCCGGCCACCATCTCAGCCCGCCTTCGCTAGAACCACCATCGTTGCTGATCTGCCAAAGCCGTTGCTACTTGCTTAGCTTGGATTTGCTTAGATTTTTCCCTAGTAAGTGGCTTCCTAACCCCTGACTAGGCTAAGAGGTGACTAATAGACATGTTAGGGATGGTTTAAAGGCTGTGGATAGTTGGTTTAGTTGCTGGTTGTGCTTGGTTTGCTTGGTGGTGCTTGTTGGTTGATTTCCAGTAAGGTTGCTCCTGTGTCGCTATATTTTCCTATTTTTTCTGTGACTTGTGTGAGCCGAATTTAAGGAGTAGTCTTTGTTAAAGTTGTTCAAAACATCTTGGAGCATAACATAATTTAATTTTGGAATTTTTGGAAGTCATTTGAGGCCATTCGGAAGTCCATCTTTAGACTGAAATAAGTCTACCGGAAATACTGTTCCTTTGATCTTCGGGTCTGTTCGAATTTTTATAAATTTTTCCAGACCATATTTCATAATGCTTCCCTCACAAAACTTGTTGGGGACATTTGTAGCTATAACATATAAAAATTTTAAAGCTTTATAAGGAGATTTGGTTACTGTTTGAAATGCATTTTGAAAGTCGGATGGCCTATCCGAATGAAATATTTTACGTCCAACTTTGGATGACAAAAATAGGTGGTTCTAGGAAGAACTGGGTTTTGAGTTCTCCATAAAAAATTTTCATCAGGATGTTTTCTAGGACATATCCAAAATTCATAATTTTTGGAGTTGAATTACTATTTATTTTAAAAGGAATCCTAGAACTGTGCACTGGCCCAGAATTGCTCCGAATTTGTGTATTCGGTTTTCCTTTGTTTCTTGTGGCTGAGTTGATTGTGGTGATGCTTGATGGCTGAGTTGAATATTGGGATGTGTGGATTTATGCCATTGAGTGTATAACTTGAATTGTGGATTGAAAGGTGTTGGAATAATTGAGTGATATGGTTGAACTTCATTGTTGCCCTTATGAATGGATTGGTTGGGTCGTGGTTGATTTGGAATTGAGCATGTTTGTGTGTGATTAGGGCATGTGGATGTTGTGTGAAGGGAATGAGATGTGTATCGCGTATGATCGATAGGCCCTGAGGCATGTTGACGCGGGGAAAGGCATGAAATTGAATGAGGATGTACGTTTGATCCTATAATCCTTGAGGCGTGTTTACGCGAGGAATTGGATTTGTCTTGAGGCGTCTTATGCGAGACAATGCCCGGATAAACCGGAGGACCGTTGACTTGATGCGTCTTTACGCGAGTCGTGCCGTAGACTTGATTCGTGTTATGCGAGTCGTACGATGAGGTGGGCCTGAGGCGTGTCAAGCGGGTCGATATTGATCAAAGTGGATACATGTGTGTGTCAGAAGTTGAAAGATGTGAGCATGTGTAGAGATTGAGATTGAAATAGGTTGGGATGTTATTATGGATGCATGTGTAGGAAATTGGTTGTATCTTGGAGTGCATGTGCATTGAGAAGTTGGTTATGTTGTCGTGATTCGACTAACGTGCAGGGTTGAATACATATGCCGAGGTAAGGCTAAGTGCCTTTAAACGTTATTGCGTGTGATTGAGTGTGCTTGGTGTTTACTCTTGTCTGGAGGTACGCGTTAGCCTAGGTGGGGTTTAGGGTGTTTGCTTATTGAGACTCGTTCTCATGGTTATTGTATAACCATTTCAGACCCTCGACCCCGACCATGAGCAATCCACCAGAGCGTTTTGGGATACCCATGGATGTGGACCAGTGGATCCGGAGACGCCGCCATGGTACCGTGGAGACTTGTGATAGGCATAGTTACCTCGTCTTTTGAGTACTTCTTTTTGTAAAGAAGCTAAGCTAACCAACCACCGATTCTTTTGTGGTGCGTGGTTCTGGTATAGTGGCCTCTTGTAAGGCTTGTAATTATGCATTTGTATTTGACGATGTGTTCAAAAAAATGTTGTGTTGATGTGATTTTGTTGTCTCCTTACTACCCGTTTAATTGTACGATCGTATGGAGAGTTCAATTTGCTTCCGCTTGTTCTGCTCTTTTGTTTGTTCGTGTGGGTCGGCGACGAGTCCTGGGACGTCGCATTCGAAATATGACCATGGAGGGGTGTCGCGGGCTCGGTGGGGTCCGGGGTGTGACACTTAATTCCACCATACTTCTTAATTTACCAACGCCATCCAGCAAACGTGGTGTCTCGTCATCTCTACCATCTCCGATTGCAATGTTTCTGAAGATTATGCTTCAAGCCTTTTCTAGGTCTAACATGAGTCGGTAAAGGTTGATAAATCACATAAAATAGAATTAGTACTTTCATAGAAGAGTTGGTAAATTATGACATTATTAAGATAGGTAAACAAAAGTTGGTAAAAGATAATAAAATTTAGTAATTGACACTTATATTTTATTTTACTATCCTATAGCACTAATATTGTTTTTTGTGAATGTTTATTATACATTTGACACTTTAGATTAAAGAATATTAGGTTATTCATTACACGATAGATTACAATCTCTTTGAATAATCAAATCTATTTGGATAACTTAGCAAATGATCCTATACAAGTTAATAGGATGCAATTTTTATTTAAAGGGAAATAAATTGTCGTCGGCAAGAAAAATATACATTGAAAGGAGAAAACAGAAAGAATCCTTTTAGCTACCTCAATGGACATTATCACAGGAGTTCCACATCCTATACGGAATATTTTTTGTCATCAAATTTAACACGCGATTCCATCGAAATGATCCACTGATATACCAAATCCTCAAATGTTGCCTGATGTACTAATATAAATTTTATTGTATCTCTTTTCATGCTGATAACACATATGGTCTAGCAAGTTATTTGGATTAGTGTTTGGCTTTTTTAAGTTCCATTTCGAGTTTGATATGGGATCTTCACGGACAGTAGAAAGTACAAAAGCTCTATTTCTACGATTCACTTGCCTATTTACCGACCATTTAATAATCTGATACCTAATCTAGATTTTCTGATCTATCAAATCCAATTCGATAATGTCATATGTCTCATCGGATAATTTTATAATCTAATAAGTATTTCGGTGCTTCAAAGGGTAGACCTATGCATGATTGATGCACGGTACTGTTCTCCTTTCACACGTACCTTGCTTTGCCCTTGTCTTTTTCGGAAAATTGTCCAAAATTTCATAATCCTAATTCACTTTTGCTAATTCGACATCTTAAATTCTTGTTACAAGGTTAAACTTTGGAATGTCCGCCGCTCCTCTCGACCGCTCTGTGTAGCTCCTCTCTACCGCTTTGTGTAGCTATGGCTTCCTATACCTTAAACCCTAACCCAAACCCTACCAAAAGCCCCAACCTTCCACCATGATTTAGCCCGATTTCCTGCTTTCTCTACTCAATTCGTTAAGTTTCCCAGTGTTCACTTTGCATCTGTGTTTCAACTCGTAGTTCTCTTCTACAGCTTCTCCCCTATCCCACAACCATTGAAGCATCTGCGTGTCTTCGGCTCTTGGGTTCTCCGCTTTGTCCCCGACCTTTGACACCTGCCCACTAATCCATTCCCATTCTCTCAGCTTTGTCTCGCACCCATGTTGCCCTCCACAAATTTCTTGGCTCCTTCTGCGATTTTTTGGCTTTCTGGACCTGTTGACCTCTACTACCAGTGAATGCATCCAGGCTTTGTGTCCCATTTTCAATAGGGTTTCGAGCTACTAAACAACATTGATGATGGATGAGGAAGAAGGTGCTGCTGAGCGTTTGGCACATCTCTACAATAAACTGGGTAAGTTAATGTACGAAAATGATATGAATATTCTAGATGAGGAACTTTCAGAGGAAAAAATCATGGAATGTCGGGTCTCTCTTATCGGGCAACTTTTCCAACACCCTAGCGTAAATTTCCAAGCACTCCAAACAGCTATAAAGAAGGCTTGGAGGAATGAGTATGTAGAGGTCAAACCCCTCGGAAATGGCAAGTTCAGTTTTGCATTTCGTAATGAAGGAGAAAAGAATCGAGTGCTGGAAGGAGGTCCTTGGTCTTTTTCTAATCATTTACTGCTCTTGAAACCCTGGGAACCAGATACTCCTCTCCATTGTTATGAGTTCAAGACCTGTGCCTTTTGGGTCAGAATTTTTGGACTCCCTCTTGAATGGAATTCTGAAGGTATGGTAAAGAAAATTGCTAGCTTGATGGGGAAGGTACTAGAAGTGAAAATAGATGCTCGAGGCCCTGCAGCTCAAAGAATTGGGAAAGTGAGAGTCAAAATGGACATGGATACTGAACTAAGAGTTGGACAATTGATGAGACACCAAAACAGGAAGGTCTGGCTTGATTTTAAATACGAAAGGCTGCCTTTCGTTTGTTACTCGTGTGGGAAGATTAGACACTATGCTAATTACTGCAAAGACATTCCCTACGATGAAGGAAAATTTACGATAGAGTTGGGAAGTTGTTTTGGAAGCTGGCTGAAAGCTGAAACTACAGGGCACAGTCCCTTTTGGAAAGTTTTCTACAAGAAGGAATCTATGGTAGAAGAAATTGAAGAGAATATCCCTGAAACTCCTGAGCACCAAAGGCAAAATGCGGTTATGGAAGATGTTCAGCCCATCTCTCCCAATATTAACTCCAATATACAATAGGGAGATCACATGAGGACAGATCCCTACTACACGCAGGAGATAACACTATATAATTCTGGTAAAAGAGCACTTCTGCTTACAGGCCCTACTCATGAAAAAGGCTTGAATTCTCAGCCTGCCCAAACAAGTTCAAAAGGCAACAGAATGAAGAGCTGTAAGAAACCAAAAACTCCCTCAACCAAAAAACAAAAGAGGTTCAGTCCTTACAATTCACTACCTAAAACCCCAACTTGGCTGGATGAAACTCAACTTCTTGAAACACCTGTTCGTATGATTGAAGAAGTCGCTGCATGGGCTTTGGTGGCTGGCCCTAATAAGCCACCAAGTGAACCATGAATATACTATGCTGAAACTGTCAAGGGTTGGGCACACCCTTGACAGTCCGAGAATTAAGAGCTTTAGTGGCTCGTTTTAGGCCCACTGTGGTTTTTCTTATGGAAACGAAAAATCAGGCTAAAGTTATTCAGAGAATAAAGAGAAGACTCCACTTTCAAAGTTGTTTTGTAGTTAATCCTGTGGGCACGGCGGGAGGCTTGGCTGTTCTGTGGGATGAAAGAATTTCACTGGAAATAGACTCAATGTCTGAGGAATTTGTGAATTTGAGGTGTAAAGAGGTGGTTAGTGGAAAGGAAATGAGAGTTACATTTGTTCATGCTTCTTATTTGTACCAAAAAAGGCTACAACTTTGGGAGGAATTGCGAAATATAAGTTCCAAGAATGTACTGCCTTGGGTGTGTTTGGGTGACTTTAATGAGGTGCGGTTTTACTGGGAAAAAGTTGGAAAGCGCTTGGCTGAAAACTATAGAATGAATGCTTTTCGGGACTGTCTAGAGGCCTGTTCATTGATGGACATTGACAGTAAAGGGTGTGCGTTCACTTGGGCCAATAATAGAGAAGGGGACGAGTACGTTAAAGAACGACTTGACAGGGTGGTATGTACGATTGAATGGAGGTTGCTGTTCCCTGAAGCGGAAGCTTATGCTCTCCCAGCAATAGGATCAGATCACAGTCCTATACTTCTATCTCTTTGGGCTAACCCTGTTAAACGAAAAAAGGACTTCAAGTTTGAAGCCTTCTGGCTTGAGAGTGATGAATGTAGAAAGGTCGTGAACGAAACTTGGAGCTCTCCCACTCACTTTGAAAAGGATTTAGTCGGGAAGTTGCAGGCGATAACTTTTGCTCTTTCCAAATGGAGTAAGAAGAAATTCGCGAATGGACATAAGGAAATCAACTTGCTGAAACAGGAACTGCAGTGGCTGACAAACAATACCATGGGGTCCAGACAAAGTGAGAATCAAAAACCTGCAAGAAGATATTGATTATTTATGGAGGCAGGAAGAGATGTATTGGGGGCTGCGATCGAGAATTAATTGGTTGAAATGGGGAGATAGAAACACAAATTTTTTTCATGCAACTACCATTCAGAGGAGACAGAGGAATAGGATCTCTATGCTTCAGAATTTAGAGAATACATGGCTATTTGAGCAGTGCCAGTTGAAAGAACATACTATACTCTTTTTCCGAGATCTATATCAATCTATTGGCCCTCAAAATTTCTCCCCAGTTCTGAATCAGGTATCTCGGGTGGTAACAGAAGAGATGAATCACCTCTTGTTGGCTGAGGCAACCTTGGAAGAGGTCATGAATGCAACTTTCCAGCTCGGCGCAGCAAAAGCACCGGGGCCTGATGGCCTTAATGCTTTGTTTTATCAGCAGAATTGGGAAGAGATTAAATGGGATATTCTAAAGGAGGTGAGGAATTTCTTCAACACTGGATCCCTGTCACCAGATTTAAATAAAACACACATCTCCCTTATCCCGAAAGTCCCAAACCCAGAGAGACTAGATCAATATCGCCCAATTAGTTTATGTAATTTTGGCTACAAGATTATCTCAAAAGTGCTGGCCAATAGACTCAAACCACTTCTACCAGAACTTGTTGCAATGGAACAAAGTGCTTTCGTCGGCGGGAGGCAAATTCAAGATAACATCTTTATTGTCCAAGAGGTGTTGCATCAAATTAGAATTCGAAAGAGAAGAAAGAAATTTCAAGCGGTACTCAAGTTAGATATGAAGAAAGCCTACGATCGAGTGGAATGGGATTTCTTGGAGGCATGCCTAATAAAGATTGGCTTTGATGAGAAATGGGTGGGATGGATTATGAAATGTGTCACAACAGTTTCATTCAACGTTAAGTTTAATGGAGAACCTCTCCATTACTTCAAACCTTCTCGAGGGATTAGGCAAGGGGATCCCCTATCTCCCTACCTTTTCATTCTGGTGGCAAATGTACTGTCCTCATTAATGAAGACAGCTGTGGACAATGGAAGTATCACAGGGATTCAACTGAACAGGTGGTGTCTTACCCTTTCTCATTTACTCTTTGCGGATGACTCAATATTTTTCTTGAATGGTACACTTCTAGAGTGTCAAAATTTGGCATCTATCCTGAATCAATATTGCCTAGCATATGGACAAGCGATAAACTTAAACAAATCGGGGATTTTCTTTGGTAGTGATTGCCCCCAAACTCTGAAAGACAATATGGCAAGGGAATTGAGAGTTCCTATTATTGACAAAACTGGCAAATATCTTGGAATTCCTTCGGATTGGGGAGTATCGAAAAAACAAGTGTTTGCTTGGATTTTAGGACGAGTCAATTCCAAACTAGAAGGGTGGAAGGAAAAACTAATGTCAAAAGCTGGTAAAGAAGTTTTGCTTAAAGCGGTGGTTCAAGCATTACCACAATATGCCATGTCTGTTTTTAAGATCCCGATTTCTATTTGTAAGGCTATTGAACAGAAAATTGCTTTATTCTGGTGGAAAACCAATGAGACCAAAGCCGGAATTCACTGGAAGAGATGGGATGTTCTGAAAACAAGAAAGGATAAGGGTGGCCTGGGATTTAGAGATCTGCTCTCCTTTAATAAAGCAATGTTAGGAAAGCAAGCTTGGCGTCTGAGTAACAGTCCAAACTCTCTCTGGAGCATTCTATTTAAGGGCCTTTATTTTCCTCATAGAGATTTCTGGCATGCGGAAAAGGGACAACGCCCCTCATGGGGTTGGCAAAGTCTGATCCTAGGAAGAGACTCCATCTCACCCCAAGTGCTGTGGGCAGTAGGGGATGGTTCACAGATAACAATCAGGGAGGACAAATGGCTGAAGAAGGGAATCATAGGAGGTCCTGCTAATAGAAATGAACCACGGTTTGTCTCTGAACTCGTTATTAGTGAGGAAGGCATATGGGATGAAACAGTTTTAACTGAACATTTTGAGGATCAATTAGTGAGAGAAATCCTTGCTATCCCGATTAAACCCCAAATAGAGAAAGACCGGCTCGTATGGACCGGAACTCAAGCAGGCAAGTACACAGTTAAAAGTGGATACAACTACGTTCGAGAGAAAGCCAATAAACAGAATGAAAATCAAGCCTCAACTTCTTTTCAACCTCCTCCCACCCTCTGGACAGATATATGGAAATTACACTCTCCATCCAAGGTTAGAATTTTCATGTGGAATTTATGCCAGAATGCTCTCCCAACTAAAGAGAATTTATTTCGAAGAAAAGTTATACCTGATCCCACATGCTCTTTATGCAATCGAGGAGTGGAAACTGTGGAGCACCTGTTTTTATTGTGTCCTTGGACGAAGGAAATTTGGTCGAACCCTGTGCTGAATGTTCATATATCAAGTCAAGGTCTTACTCGAATTGAAGATTGGTTCGGGAGTTTGAAAGGAAAGTCCAGCAACTCACCTAATCTAGAGCTGGTTGCTGCAACACTATGGAATATATGGAAGGCGCGCAACCAAACCATCTTCAAGAACAGATAACCCAACACAATCAGCCTCATCGACGCTGTTCTAGCTGGGTTGAAGAGTTTTAACATATAGAACCCCAAATCAAGCAGATCTGGGAACAAAGCCGATGAATTTTCAGAGACCTGGAATCCACCGCCGTATGGAACTTATAAGATAAACATAGATGGAGCGTACGAACCTGGAGCTTCGGACGATTCGGTCACCTGCGTTTGCCGTGATTCCGTCGGAAGGTTGCTGGACGGAGCAGCTCGTACAGTGGCAACGTCGTCCCCGCTGATGGTTGAGTCCCTTGCTCTGTTAGAAGCCCTAACTCACTTCTTTCCCAAACGACGTGAAGTCCTTATAATTGAGTCTGACAGCTTGGACTTAGTCAATGCCTTAAAGATTCCAGATCCACTTAGTTGGGAAGTCCACGCGCTTCTCTTGAAATGCAAAGACCTGCTACGATCCTTCTCTAGTATTCGGGTCTTTCATTGTCATAGAGAGGCCAATTTTGTAGCGGACTGGGTTGCTAAAGCCCACAAAAAAAATTACCTACCTTTCAATTGGGTCTTCTCCCCTCCCCAAGCACTTTGGGAGCTCTTATGTACTGATGCCCTTTTATCGGGTCCCTCTTAGTGAATGATATATTTATCTTTCCGACAAAAAAAAAATTCACTTTTGCTAATTCAATCATAAATCTTTTAATTGTGTCAATTGAGACAATTCGTCTAATTTTGACCAGAAATTATTAACGTGGACGCCAGCCATCTTACATGGACCGCGTCTTACATGGCACGGTCGGCATTGACGTAGACAATATTCCATAATATTTTTATATTTTTATATTTAATTCTAATATTTTTTATTTCTTCTCTTTTCCTTCTTTACTTTTTCTTTTTTTTTCTTTGTTATCCTTTTCTCTTCTTTTCTTATTTTTCTTTTCTTTTTCCTCTGTCCCTTTTTCCCTCTACCGGCCTTAGGCCCTCGACTGAGTGGGCGTGGGCCGCCCTCGCTGGCCCTTGGCAAGAGTGGTGTAACGTCCTGAATTCGACCCACTTTCGTGATCAATAAAATGAATATGTATTTCTCATTGCGTTTTAGTAAGTCTCTCCCGGAACTGATCATTCTCGGGATACCGACCAATAGGGAATGGCTAGCTAGGAAAACGGTACGTGGAACCAAGAACTCGACCGTGAATTGAGTCTGATTCCGAGAAACGACGAGGGAATATTTTGTGCCAATGTGGGCCGGTCCAAGGAGAGTGACGGATTTGGTTTAGCCAACGACGTACGATCAGATCGCGGGTGATTCCGTACGACCGAGAGTACGCATGGCGAACGATCCCGAACTTATTCCGAACAATCGCGACCCCCGGAACTAGTGATAAATCCTCGTGTTCTCTGGGAGATCGAGATCGTCATGACTCGAGTAACCCTAGGTCGATACGCGTAACCCCTAAACAGCCGTCCGTTAGTGAGAGACGCTAAAATCGCATTTGAGCGAAATCGATCGTGGAATTGAGTCCGGACTTCGGTGTCGAATTTCATGGACGTACGCGACTATTTTGCAAGAACAACGTCGTATAAGTGTGGCCAATTATATTTGGGATCGGTAGAGTCGAAAATTGGAAATTTGGGCCAGGACCGGAAAATTACGATTTTGCCCCTGGACCCCTAGGTGATAATTCCGAATTTTTGGGTTTTAAATTGGTTTATATCAGCTCTAATATTGTTGAATTAGTGGACCAATCTACCCCTAGATATTTAGTCTTGGTTGATCTTGGCCATTAGTGTGAGGGCTTGATGCTAAATTTTGGGGAGTTAGTCAACCACCCCACTCACCACCTTTGCTTAAACACTCTCCCTCACTCTCTCCTCTCATTTCTCACCCTCACCAGCCGGCCACTCCCCCTCTCCTCTCCCTCTCGCCGAGTCCCTCTCTCTCTCTCTCTCGGCCGCGCGCGCTGCTCGCCGGGTCGCCGCCGCCGTGCCGCTCGTCCACGCCCCACCTCGCCTTGTCTCACCATCACCACCTGACCCCCACTCTTTCTCCTTCTCTCCACTTTCCCCTTTGGCCGTGAGGATCAGCTCGCCTTGGATCGCTGCTCGTCCACGCCCCACCTCGCCGCCACACGCCGCCGCGGAAACCGCTGATCGTCACCGCCGCTTGCGCCGCCGCGAACCAGCTCGATCCGCCCATTTCCCCAGCTCGGTCAGCCACCTTTGGGAGCCTCGGATTAGGTGAGTTTTAGGGGTTATTTAGGGCATTTTAGGGGTTAATCTGTTGGCTGGTGTTTAGGCTGATTATGTGGTGAATTTGGGAGTTTAGGGTGATGATTTAAATGTGATATGATGGCCTAGAATGGGCTAATCGGTGGCTGTTTATTGTGGATTCGATTCGGGCCATTATGTGGATTAAATGGGCGCAATGCGTGGGCTGTTAGTTAGGCTGAAAATGTGGTGATTATGAGATCCTAATGTGATGATTTAAATATGATATGATGGTCTAGAGTGGGCTGATGGTTGGCTGTTCATTGGGGAAATTAATTTAGGCGATTATGTGGATTAAAATGGGTGCAATTGTGTGAGCTGTGTAGTGGCTGATCTTGTGGTGATTTTGGAGGTTTAATGTGCTGATTTGGAAGTTGTTTAGAGGCCTAGATCGGCATGATTAATGGCTGATCATAGTGGGCTCGTTCGGACTTTGTGCGATTGATTAATGGACCAATTGTGAGATGCTAAGTGTGCAATGATTAGGGCTGTTCTTATAGCTATTTTGGTGGCTTAGTGTGATGATGTAATTGTGATTTGGTGGCCTAGAATGGGTGGATTAATGGCTGATCATTGTGGACTTAGTTGGGGCAATTATATGGATTAAACTAGGTACAATGTATAGGCTGTTTAGTGGCTGATTTTGTGGTGATTTAATGGCCTAATGGGATGATTTAGAGGCGGATTGGAGGCCTAGAATGTGTTGAGTTGTGGCTGTCCATATTGGGGTCTAATTGGACTAAGATTGATTAGTTTGAGGGTTAATCGTGAAATCGCCGTGATTGCCTTGTAATGTCCTCGTATTGGCTGATTCGTGTTGATTGATGATTGATGTCGTGATGTCATGTCGCGTACCTAGTGTGGTCGAGAATGAGGAGGCATGATGGGCCGTGCGTATGTGTAAATTGTGTCGCTCTAATCACGTGAATTATGTGTGCCGATTATGTGCCATGCAAGATTGAATTGAAGTGCATAATTGGGCATGCTAGTATATTAATTGGGCACATTGTGACTAAGCTAAGCATGTCGAATAATTATTTGAGCACGTAGTGGCATTTGTTTGAGCATGTCTTGGCATGAATTGATTATATGCTTAGGTGAAATTGAATGCTCATTGTGAAGTGCATTGTTGCCTGAGTGCCGGACTGCATGGCCACGCATTTCGCCTGCTGGGCATTGGCTTGATACGAGAATTGCGCGAGTATGTGTGCCTGATGTGATCACCTAATCGCCCTTATGCGTTTTACGCGAGGTTCAGATAATAACTGGTGTATGTGTACGTGTGATCACATAAAGCCCTGATGCATGTTACGCGGGGTATTGAACCCGTCTTGATGCATTTTACGCGGGACGATGCCCGGATTGCCGGAAGACGACCAACCTGATGCTTTTTACGCGGGTTCGGTCCGTATATGGAGATCGGTATTGCGCCCGATGCGTTTTACGCGGGTTAGAGACACTGGGCCGGATGCGTTTTACGCGGGCCAGGAAGTGTTGGATATTGTTAGACCTGATGCGTTTTACGCGGGTCAGACCTGATGCGTTTTACGTGGGTCAATTAATAAATGAGAATTGGCAGTGTGCAAGTATGAATTATTGAGCCGGATCATGAGCACGGACATATTGATGGCATATGTGTGCAAGAGTGCATTGGCAGATGTGCAAGCATGTGCGTATCGGTGAACCGTGTGTGTGATGCAGACATCAAGGAGCATAAGCATGTGCATGGCGTACGTGTGGCTATGTATGATCGCATGTGCGCCATGCGTGGGTTCTGCACTTCTAGTGCTATTATGAACTATCTAACCTGCAGGGTCAGTAAAATGTTGGATTTGGGCCGAGGGCCTAAGTCATGTGATTGCTTGACTATTTATTTAGTTAATACTTGTCCGGGAGGTGCATGTTAGCCTAGTTTAGGCTTAGGGGGCTTACTCGCTGAGATTTATTCTCACTGTTGTTTAAACCCCACTTTTCAGACCCCCGACCCTGAAGATGGTAGATGCGCCTGACCGCCCGAGCCACCTACTCCTTTTTGCAATTCGTGGCTATTGACCCATATTTGGTTAGCATATAGTTATGTATTGATGAATATTGTAATCCCTGTTATCAATACAAGTTGTATTTACTGGTATCCTTGGTCATGTTGTTTTGTAATGTACGGGTGTTTTGTTGCTTCCGCATGTGCATTGTTCTCTGTGTTGGATTTGGGTCGGCGACGCGTCCTGGGACGTCGCACTTGAATCGACCTTGGTTGGGTTGTCACGTGCCGTAAGATTCGGGGCGTGACAAGTGGACCTTGCCAGGCCAGCGAGAGCGACCCTTGCTTGAGGCCGACGACCTCCGCTAGCCATCGACAAAGCTCAGCAATGGTTGATGAAGGGAAAAAGGGAAAAGAACAAAGAAAAAAGAAAAGAAGAGAAAAGGAAAAAAAAGGAAAAAATTAAAGAAGGAAAATAGAAGAAAATAAAAAATAAAAAATAAACAAAGAAATTCAAAAAAATATTAAAATATTATTAAAAATAATCCACATCAACACTAGCCGTGCCACGTATGACGGCTAACATCCATGTCAGCAATTTCCAACCAAAATTGGTAGGATGAAGTCAATTGGCAAAACATGAATAGGTTTAGAATTCAATTAGCACAATTAAAAGTTTTATGACTAAATTGATAAAAGTGCAATAGGTTTAGAAAAAAGATAATTTTCCCTTTTTGTTCATGTTTCTTTCTCCCTTCCATTTATTTATTGGAAAAAAACTATTAAAAGCCACAAACTATCCTTAGTGTGATACATTTACCCAAAACTTGTAATACTAAAAATCCCAAATTTGTACATAAGTGATACATTTACCCGTCCGTCATAGTTTCATAAAAAAAAACGCTGTTAAAAATCCTAGTGGTAGATAACGTAGACATGGCCACGGCTCAGGAACCGGCGGTTCAGGTTCCGGTTCAAAACCGGCAGTTCCGGTTCCGGCCGGTTCCGATTCGAGGGGGGAGGAGGAGAAAAGGGGAGGAGGCGCAGGGTAGCGAGGGGGGAGGAGGAGGGGGCGTCGGCGTCGGTGGCTGCGGCCATGGGCGGGGGTGACGGCGGCGAAGGCGGCGGGGGGGTCAGATCTGGGAAGACAGGGGGCGGGCGGAGGAGAAAAGGGCAAG